AACTCTTTTGGAATTCTATTTGGGCTAATCTTGCTCATTCTAAATGTGAAATTTTCTGTTAGCTAGTAATGAAAAGTATGATTGCAGTTAAAGGAGAACTTCTTAAAAGAGGTCTTATTGATAAGAATGTTGCACTTTGCCCTATCTGTAATGCTGATACTGATCTTGTTGAACATCTTTTCATTGACTGTTATGATATTTGGTGTGTTTGGATGTTATGGGTTAATTTTTGGGGATTTTCTTAGACTTTTTTTAAAAATTTGAAAGATCTTTTTTCTATCTGGAATGAGGCTAGTAATGGCAGAGATCATTTTTTAGTTTGGAAATTGTCCTTTTTGACAATTCCTTGAACAATTTGAATTTAGAGGAACCATTTGGTTTCCAATGGAAAACCTTGGGATTGAGGTTATATTTTTTAAATTACCAAGTTAAGGGTTTGCTTATGGGTCAAAGCCAAATGGCTTAACTTTAATTCTTCGATGACTGTCATGATTTGAAACTTAATTTTGCTAAAGTCTCCCAAATGGTTAAAAAGACAAAAAAGAAGTGTGATTGGTTGAGCTAGTAGCTGGTTCATTGAAATTCAATGTTGATGACGCTGCTCGTGGATGCTCGGATCCTTTTAAAATTAAAAGAGCTCTTCGAGATCGTGAAAGTAATGGCAAAATCCTGTTTTCTAAACTGTTAGGTATTATTGATTCTAATATTTCAAAACTCTTGGCTAATAAAGAAGCCTTTGTTATTTCTACTCCATCTTACTAGAATTCTTCTCACAATCTCACTATTGAATCGGACTTTACCAATGCTGTCAAATGGATCAACTGCCTCTTTTCTTCTCCTTGGAAATTCAAGTGCACTCTTAGACAGATTAATTTCTTGATGAAAAATATTAAGAATTGGTCTATTAACCATATTCTCTGTGAAGTAAACTACTTTGTAGATCGCTTGGCCAAGCTTGTTGTTAATTGTACTTTTGATCGCATTCAAGTTTTTGGTTAATTATTGTGTTTTTGGGTTCTTCTGGTGCTATCCTCCCCTTCTGTTTATGGTTAGTTCTTTTCTTGATTGTTTTTGCTTTGTCCTTAGTGTTCTGGGACTGCCTTGTAGTTTGATGTACCTTTGATTGAGGCTTGGAGTTTTTCCTTTTCTATTAAGACTCTCCTCTTCCTTTTTAGAAAAATTATGCTGTTAAAAAACAAATGTGTTGAGGTATAACAGCTAAATGTAAAATCTTTTAGTTTTAATTGCATAAATAATCTTTTTAATAGCATAAATGAATATAAATTAAGTTAAGGTTATTTTAGTAAGAATAAAGCTAAGAAAAATAAATCAATAATATTTTTACTATTTATTTTTATATATTCTAAAATAAATAAATTAAGTTAAAGTTTATTTGCTAAAAAGTTCTTGTGATTTATTTTTTAATGCTATTCAAATGATATCCATAGTTAAAATAATTATGTGGAAAAATATAATTTAATGAATTATGTCATAACATGGGAGTTTAAGACCGCAATTGCTCAATGTGAAATGGAGTTGCCATTAATCTTTTTTATCTAGATGTGATTGACCACTTATTTGAATCTAATTTTTAAAATGTTACCCTAAGCTTGACTTAAGTTCCATTTTTTAAAAAATAGGTTTAGTTTACATTGCAGTGATAAGGTTTTGGACTACAGTTATGCATGAGAAAGGTATTAGTACCCCTATGACATTCGTTCAAAAACCGATACCAATTATCTACATGTTACCTTATCTTACCCTTAATTAATAATTCTTAACTTCATATTTGCTTATATTTTCCTCATTTATTTATTTATATATTGTTTTCTTCTTCCATTTTTTTACCTATTATTATTACTATTATAATTTGCTATTTTAAGTTTTGCCAACACTCTCTACAAAACTAAGAAAAATCCTCTTACCTCGAGAACATTTAAGAAAATCACTTCTTTTCTTGAAGAAATTCCATTGTCAAAATTATTTTATTATGTTTATAAAAATGCTCAAGTAAAATGTTTTTCTCTTTTTATGCTCATTTAAAATTTTTATTTTTATATTTTGTTATTATTAATCATTTATTACTATTATTATTATTATTATTATTGTTATTATTTTGAGTGAAAATTCTTTAATGTGAAAATTTTTTCTAAATTTCCCAACACTTTTGGTAGAATTTAATAAAACTTTCTCACCTAAAAATTTTGAAGAAAATTGTCACTTACAAATTTCTTAAAATTCCCTCATTGGAGAATTTTTATCTATTTGTATATTTTATGCTTTTTATGTGCATTGATTTTAAATTTACTTTATTTTCTCAAAATAAGTACATAAACAAAAATGCTTTGATGTTGAAATCTTTCTTGAATTCCCCAAATTTTTAGATAAAATTGAAGGAAATTTTCTCACTTAAGCATTTTCGAGAAAATTATCACTTACGATGTTCTTAAAATTCCAACATTGAAAATTTTTTATTTACAATATAACCTCTATAAATTAATACTCAATAAATTAATAACCTTGATTAAATAATATTTTTGACCAATTTGTGATGTAGACACTACTTGGTATATGGCAAGATTAACGGTTTGCGTGGAATGTTTGAATAGTGGATTTCTGTTTGGACAGCTGCTGAGTTGGTGGTTTGCAATTAGGAGAGAAATTGGTTTAATACAATAAGAATGGTCTGAATTTGGAAGCTTTAATGTGATTCAGATAGCATAAATTCTAGATAGGATCAAGCGGTGGATTGTATGAATTAGTCATGGATTAAATTTTGGCATTAGTATTATTATCCAATTTACCCTAAGTTGGATGTTTGGTTATTTTTAAGGGTTATTAATACGCACTATATTCTCTTTGTACTTATAAAAGTCCAAGATCGTTTTGGATTTTGACAATTAGCAATAATATTACCTACCTTTCAAAAAAAAATAATATTTTTGATCAGTCTCGACATGGGACAAATGTGGTTAATTAATAATTTACTAAATTTATAAGATAATACATTTTAAAATAAAACTCATGGGTCTTATTTGATACACAAATTAATAATCTCCTTATATTGTTGTTGGATTTACCACGCTGATGCGCCTACCGTTAACAAGTAATATATCATAAAGTAAAGTTCGTTCTCATAGAGAATTGTCCATATCTTTTTACTAATTACTAGAATTAGCACAACTTAATCTTGTTTAAACAACTAAATTTAAAACTACTGAAAATTAGAGAAACTAAAATTAAAATTAAAAGCAAAAGTAACAATTTATGTAGAATCAATTAATCAAAAGTCTAAAATCACAATATTTCCTCCATGTTTCATTTGAATATCTTTTACTCTTTCGTTACTTACTAGATACGTTCAAGTTGTTAGCCTAGAGTTCTAATATATATATATAGATAGATAAACAAGATTAAACATTTAAGGTAGAATAATATGTATCAAATTATATCATTGCCATTGCTCAAATTTTATTTTAATAGATTTGAAAAGTTGATTGCTCTTTGTAGATACTTCATTTTGGTTAATATTTATTCTCTAAAAAATTACTTTACAACGTAACATTATATAGAGAATAATAAGAATAACCATTACAAATGAAGCACTACTTCATGCAGAATAACTAGAATAAATGAAGTACTACTTCACGTAGAATGATTAGAACAAGTGAAGCATTATTTCATGTAAAATAATCACTTCCTATGAATAGCAATGAAAGTAATTCTGAATGAGTGGCAATTAAACATGAAGTACTACTTCATGCAAAACAATTAGAACAAATGAAGTACTACTTCATGTAAAACGATTAGAACAAGTGAAACATTACTTCATACAGAATACCCACTTCATACGGATAACATAAAGCACTACTTCATGCAAAACAACTAAAACAAGTGAAGCACTACTTCACATAGAATGATGAGAACAAGTGAAGTAATATTTCATGCAAAATAATCACTTCTTGCGAATAACAATGAAAGTAATCCTGAATGAGTAGTAGTTAAAAGTGAAGTACTACTTCATGCAAAATAATTGGAATAAGTGAAGCACTACTTCATGTAAAACGATTAGAACAAGTACAACACTACTTCATGAAGAACACCCACTTCATACAAATAGCAATGAAAGCAACCTGGAATGAGTGACAGGGTTCACGGGTTACTTTTATCTTGGAATGATTTGGAGAATTTAGCTTGGTAACTCAGATATGCAAATAGTTAAGAGATTTTTCTCTTAACCTTTACTTGAAGTATGAGTGTTTCTTCTTTTTACCTTGTTTTCATGTGCCTATTCATGTACACCTTCTTCATTTATACCTGTTCACATACATCTTTTTCTCTTAATTTGTTTTCATATAGCGTTTCACGTATACCTCTTCTTTATTACCTTCTACTCGATAACAAGTATTATTACACCTAATTATTTCAACGATCACTCACATTAAATGACATAAAAACACCACCTCATTATCTACATAATGTCTGACAGTAATAGTTACTTACATTAAAACTATTCATAATAATGTCATTCATTAAGCATATTAAAAGCCTATTTTTGACGCTACCTATAAAGCCTCACAATTTATTTAGAAGGATTTCTTTTTCTTCTATAGCTAACACATTCTCCTCTAGAGCTCCTCTATCTAAATTCTCTCTAATTCTCTTTTTATTTTCTTTTATCCACCACGACACTCAGTATTTCAAAAATTACTCCGATTTTTCTCTTTATTGTCTTTGACACATCCTTTTACATATTTGCAATACCTCATTTCTCTATTACAAGCACCTCTTTTACAATCTTTAACTATATGAAAGAATGCCTTCCATATATGGATTAAAGTATAATAGATTTTTGTCTCATTTTGCGATAAGTTGCTGTTTCCGAAAAACATTTAAATGCAAAGAAAATAAAACAACAATGAGGGTAGAAGAGGAAACGAAGATCGAAAGATAGGTATAACTTAGGCATATCACTTTAAGTGAGTGGCAATCGGACAAAAGTCCTCGCAACGGTCACTTTTTGAGCTTTTAAGTCTTCTCTCTTTTGCTTGAGAAACTGAAAATAAACAAACTCAAAAGCTTTGAAGGAAACAGCACCCAGACAAAAGAAAGAGCTAGAGCAAAGATTAAAATTGCAAAACCCAACCATGAATGAGCAAGAAGAGCAAGAGAGTCTTATAATTGCTACAGCGAAAGTGGTGGAGTATTTGGAGCCATTGATGTCAAGAGAGCTGCTTTGCAAGTTCCCAGACAACTCTGCCTTTGATTTCGACTACACCCAAAGCTCGCTTTGGTCTCCTTTGGTCCCTCGTGCTTACAGCCCTGCAGATTTGGATTTTGATCCGATTACACCTAGGAAGCTCGCTTTTGAGTTTGGGTTCGGGTTGGAGTTGGCGAAAAGCAAGAATAGTGGCAAGAAATCCAAACCCAACGTCAAGAAGAAGATAGCCACGGCTGCACTTAACATCAATCTTTTGAGGAACAAAAACAAGAAAAGGAAGAAAATGACTTCTGAGTTTTCTCCAACTCCTATTAAGGGTGGCTGTGCCCACATTATTACTAAGGTAAAGGAATCTGTTTCCATGCTTACCATGTCCTTTTTGGTCCAAAGACTTGTATTAGGTTATTCGTAATCAAGTCAATTAACAAAGATTTTTCCGTGTCTTGTGAACCGTACTGATCAGGGATGGAGTCAGATGCTGAAGGCTGCCTCGAAGCATTTCAAGAGAAAGAAGAAAGACTCAACGGTCCACCACGTGAAGCTTCCCAACTATTTGATGCGGGATTCAAATATTTGAAGATCATCAAGATATATTATTCATTTTTTAAGTTTAGATAAATCATGCATATATTCCAGCATGCATTCCTGTTCGCTTCATTCTTTTCAATTCTAAAACAAAGGCAATATTTTGAAGACATGATTAATGTCGAGCATGTAATTGGTTGTCATTTGCTTTACTTCAGTATTTTTGTTATGCTTTATACTTTTTCAATTGGTTATAGTTCAGAAGAAGCTCTGGACTATTGATTATTTCTGACTTTCTTCAATCTAAAAGTGGTATATAACTTGAAACCAAGTTTAAGTTAATCCTTTGTTCCTCCTTTCAAGGTTCTTTTTTTTTTTTTAATTAATCAAGTCAGAAGACGACAAGAAAAATTGCCTACAGATCTTTGCTGCATCTGCAGTCCACCACAGGAGATATGTTCTTCAGAACAAATATCCCTACTCTAAAATCTTTCTTGCACTCAATACCCTGACAAATAAGACAAACTTTATGGTGAAGAAAATTGCTGTTTTATCCTTGAAGCAAAAAATTGAATTCCTTTTTCATCCTAAATAATTAAAAGCAGAGATCTAAAAAAACCAGAAAGACTTAACTGGAGCCTCAATCCTCAAAAGAAAGTGCCGACCACAACTACATGTACATAACCAAGAAGATTTGACATACCTAATGACCTGTTGGCAGAATAAAAGGCGGATATACCTCAGCAGTCAGCAATGAAATATAACCAAGGAAAATTGACATACTTACATGTACACATGATGGTACACCTTAGATGCAAAACATCCTGCATGTAGCATCAATTTATGAGCAGTCTCTGTAACATGGTGTAGTAAAAAAGACGGAATAAGAACCACAACTACATTCCAAGGGGCACAATAAACATTTTACGGGTAAGATCAAATTCTATAACAGAAATGCAGCCTGATCTCAATAAAGAAACAGAGAATTTAACCACATGAGAAACATGCGAACAAAGATCCATATTACAATAAACTGAGTACGAGAGGAGTAAGCACGACAACCATAAACCAAACCATGACCTAAAATAAGTTTCAGAAGACACTTAGAACGCTTAAAACATTGGCCAATAAGCAAAAACAATTCATTGAAGAACCAAACACCCAGACTGCTGCATCACTTCTAAACTTAAAAGCCACCACGAAGGCGAAGAACAAGATGCAAGGTGGATTCCTTCTGGATGTTGTAGTCTGCCAGAGTCCTCCCATCCTCCAGCTGCTTCCCAGCAAAAATCAACCTCTGCTGGTCTGGAGGGATCCCTTCCTTGTCCTGGATCTTTGCCTTCACATTATCAATGGTGTCCGAGCTTTCAACCTCCAATGTTACTGTCTTTCCAGTCAAGGTCTTCACAAATATCTGCATCCCACCACGTAAACGCAACACCAAGTGAAGGGTAGATTCCTTTTGGATATTATAGTCAGCGAGAGTTCTCCCATCTTCAAGCTGCTTGCCAGCAAAGATAAGCCTTTGCTGGTCTGGTGGGATACCCTCCTTATCTTGGATCTTTGCCTTCACATTATCAATGGTATCTGAACTCTCAACCTCCAATGTGATAGTCTTTCCCGTAAGAGTCTTCACAAAAATTTGCATCCCACCACGAAGACGGAGAACCAAGTGAAGGGTTGACTCCTTTTGAATGTTATAATCAGCAAGTGTCCTTCCATCTTCAAGTTGTTTTCCAGCAAAAATCAACCTCTGCTGGTCTGGTGGGATACCCTCTTTATCCTGAATCTTGGCCTTGACATTGTCAATAGTGTCTGAGCTCTCTACCTCCAAAGTGATCGTTTTACCTGTGAGAGTCTTGACAAAGATTTGCATGCCACCTCGAAGACGAAGCACCAAATGGAGGGT